AATATATATTTAATTTACACAGTGAAGAATATGCAATGTTTTTATACATTTGATTACTTTATACAATGTATGTAGCATTTCTTATTTATTTGTTCTACTGTAGTTTTTTTTGTACTATTGCTTGTAATTAGTTTCTTATTCTTATTTAATCACTGACTGTTTACTTGTCTTCAGTGAGCTTGAATTATTTTTTATTTAAGCTAGTATTAATTTTTTGTGATATTGACACTGGTGTCAAGAATTATGAAATTTCTATGGTATCAAAATGTTTTATATCATAAAGACCTTTTTTAAAGCAAAAAAAACCTATATTGTGATATATATCGTTATCGTGAAATAATATTAGTCATATCGTGATTTAAGATTTTGGTCATATCGCCCACCCCATGCTACTTATAGAAGCGCGTTTCCGACACTGAATAAAAATAAATAAATAAAGGTAACTGCTACTTTATATCACAAATAAATTCAATTCACTCAGAACTGACAGAAAAAAGTCAGAATTGCAAGAAATAAACTCTTAACTCAAAACTTTTCGCAATTCTGAGATTTCTGACAATTCTGTTTTTTGTTTCCACAACGGAAAAAGAAACATTTAAAACGTAAACGTGACTCTTAAATCTCACACTGCACACTTTTTTTCAAATCTGTTTAGACAAATAAATTGTTTAAAAAAGAATAATTATAACAAATTACAAATTTGTTAGAAGTGCATTTTAATAATAATAATAATAATAATAATAATAATAACAATTTAATGCATGTGTTGGATACTTAAATGTTTCAAATGTGTTATTTAGAAAAATACAAATTGTTTAAAAATGTTATTTATAACAAATTACAAATTTGTTATAAATAAAAATTATTATAATAATAATAAATATTATTATACCAATAACAACAAAAGCAACAATGATAATGCCTAGTTACGAATTTGTTTGAAATACATTTTAATAATAATAATAATAATAATAACTAAATGCATGAGTTGGATACTTAAATGTTTCAAATATGTTATTTTGACAAATATAAATAGTTTAAAATTATTTTATAATAAATTACAAATTTGGTATAAATTATTATAATAAATGTATAATATAATTAAAAATAAAGACTATTATTATTACTATTATTATAACAATAACAACACAAACAACAACAATAATGCTCATTTACAAATTTGTTTGAAAAACGTTTTAATAATAATAATAATTATTATTATTATTATTATTATCATTGTTGTTGTTGTTTTTGTTATTAGATTGAGTTGGACTAAATGCTTCAATGTTTCTAATTAGTTATATAGACAAATATTAATTGTGCCTATTCACAAATTTGTTTCACAATAAGCTCTTTAACTATGTAGTGGAGAGGTCCTGATAGTTATAAAAAAATACATAAATGAATACATACACAGACAGATACATAAATAAAGCCTTTGAATCAAGCATTATCGTTCAAATAGCTTGTCCAAATAATTACCACATATTGCTGAGATACTTTAATGTTTAAGTTAGTTATGCAGACAAATATAAATTGTGCCCATTTGCGAATTTGTATTAAAAAACCTGACCGTTGTAAGTATACAAATAAATAAATAAACAAATAAACTGTTTATCAACCCTTAACTCATTCAGCTTGTACAAATAATTTGGGATAAACCATGTGCTGTAAATCTAAAAGATAAAACAGCCCACAGAGGAACAGCCATGTCCTACAGGCAGAGGAAAGGAAGGGAAAAAAATAAAAGGGAAAAAAAATCAATACATTCCTCTGCAGTATTCGCTAGTCCCCAGCAGGTAATGTATTAATGACCTTTAGACTCTTACTGTGGGAACTTATCAGTCTTGTGCTTATTTAGTCCGGGCTGACAGAGCAGGTTCCAGCCTATTTCATCGATACATCTCCGACAAGGCAGTTACTCAAACTCAGACAGTAGATATTAAGGCTTGATAGAAACTCCGGCTGTTGCCCGCCTCGACATACTTGATAGGTTTTTCACCTGATGCATTCATAGGCGCACGTCTGACCTTCCCAGCACTTAGAATATGAAGGCGAGCTTCCGTTATTGCCATTATCTTAATTTGGTGTGCGGATTGTTTATTGTAAAGAGGTTTCTTGTGTCAATAAAAACTCAGACTGAATACAAATAGGGATGAGGGTCTTTCAGCATCGCGAGTGTGTGGATAAGAAATACATGCTCACTGGCCTGCATACTGGGATGGGATGCAAACAAACAAGTAAATTTTTTGGGGTTTAAATAAATGACGTGATTTCTATGCTGATCTGGCATTATGAATACACATTAATATACTGCGCTTTATCTGACCTTGGAGATTCTTTACCATTTTAATGCACTGAAACATAAATAGTGGATTTAACTTTCAACAAAATTCTACCATTATATGATCATTAGTTAATTAAAAAGGCTAGTAGTGAAAAAACATTTATATTATACATTTGTTTTTGTGTACAGTTGTAGAAACAACTACCCAGAACACCCTAGCAACAACTCAGGACTCTTCTGAAACCACAAAACACCCTAGAAATATGGCGTCAAGTATTTCCAATGCAACAATCACTTTTTGTCTTCAGAAAAATGTAATAATCTAGTTTGATTTACAATAATTAATTCAAATAGTTAGAAATATCTTGATATTTTAAATTTTCATATTTGAACATACTAGAATTACTGGTCTGTTAAGTATTATATTAATTAATATAAAAGGCTACTGTAAAGGGTTGCTGAGGCTTTCATATTTTTATTTGTATAGGCATTTTTTTCCATTTACTCTAGATATAGGTATTTAAAAAATATATTCAATTACTACGTTATAAGAGATGAACCAAACCAACCAGGCCTGAAATTAATTATTTGTATAGGCATTTTTTTCCATTTACTCTAGATATAGGTATTTTAAAAATATATTCAATTACTACGTTATAAGAGATGAACCAAATCAACCAGGCCTGAAATTAATTACATTACAAACTCATTTTGAAGGGGGGGGGGTTGATTTTTTTTTTAATTGAAAAAAAATTGATTTTTTTTTTTAATTGAAAAAAGGAACAAATGGAAAAATTGGAAAAAACATTTTAAAAGAAAATTAGAAAAAAGGAAATTAGAAAAAAAAAATATATTTTTTTAAAGGTTCAAGGCTGTTTTTTATGACGGAATAAACTATATGATACTGAAAAAAAACTCTATCATGGTTGCCATTAAAAAATATAAAAGAGATAGTTCACCCAAAAACGAAAATTCTGTCATTAATTACTCACCCTCATGTCATTCCAATTTTGGAGAGTATTCTAGAATGTAATCACCATAATCAGCGTTGTTTACATTCAGTAGACAGCGCGCGCATGCTGAACGTAAACAAAGCTGATTATGTTGATTGATGTTGGTACTCTCCAAAATGGCAGAAGACGGTAACTCGGAGGGAAGATGGTAACTCGGGGAGAAGAACTGCTGAATAAATTATGTTATTATTGTTTTTTTTACGCACAAAAAGTATTCTCGTAGCTTCATAAAATTACAGTTGAACCCAATGTCACATGGATCATTTTACATATGTCCTTGCTATGTTTCTGTGCGTTGATTTCTGTGGTAATATCATTGCTGTTTATGGAGGATTAGAGAGCTCTCATATTCCATCAAAAATATCTTAATTTGTGTTCCGAAGATGAACAAAGGTCTTATGGGTTTGGAACGATACCATTTTTGGGTGAACTAACCCTTTAAGCAGCAAACGTTTTTTTTAACATTGATAGTAATAAGAAATGTTTCTTGAGCAGCTAATCAGCATATTAAATTGATTTCTGAAGGATCATGTGACAGTAGGGCTGGGCGATAATTCGATAACGATAATTATCGCGATATAATTTTCCTCGATAAAACGATATGAAGAGTTCGATAAATGTTCGATATAATGTTTATGCGCCAAAAGTGGAATGAAACAGTGCAACTCATTTGAATCGCGCCACTCGGACCGTTTATCGGCTCGGATCAAAGTTCAAATTGCCGCGCGGCACGAGCTCTCTAGAGCAGATGTGTTTACTCGGTCACGCAAGCATTAAGCAGCGCTGTGAGATCTAGTGTGAAGCGCTTGAATTCAGCGATGAACACAAATGACTCGGTGATTTAAACTAGTTTAAAGACAAACAGTAGAAACACTGTGTGCAACGAGACAGTCAGAAGGCTTTTCAATCTACACATCGCCATCATTTACCATGGTTTTACTGTAGTAACACTCACTGCACCATGGTATTGTGGCAGAAATTTGGGATATTCACACTGAATTTTATTAAAAGAATAATGGTATATACTTGTAGCATGTATTTGTGATTAAGCTATAGCATGTGTGCATTTATACTGAATGTTTTTAGACTACTGTTTTTCATGCAAATATGCTACCTAAAAACCATATAGTTATATCTTTACCATGGTATTGAGGTGCTATATGTGTGGTTTTAACTGTGTTTATCATGATTTAAATGTATGCTACTATGGGAGACCAATGCTTAATTTAAAAAAATAAATAAATAAATAAAAACTTGGTCAGAATAAGGTTGCTACAGGCTGCAATATAACAAAGAGTGAAAAATTTAAGGGGGTCTGAATACTTTCCGTACCCACTGTATATATATATATATATAATTTAGAGGAAGTCTCACCTGGTCTTTAAGCTGTTTGACAGAGTGCTGCAGGGTGAGGATGTGGCCGAACAGAGGGCTCTGCAGGGCTTCCTTCAGCGTGCCGAGCCTGTCGCTGTGGGTCCACTCATCCCTCTGCACGAGCTTGGACTGAAGTCTTTCCAAGGCCTGGAGCACCTGCTGCCGCTCGGAAGCAGACACTGAGAACACACACAATCCAGATATTAACCATGCAAAGACCGATTAAATACATAGTATGCTTGCTTAGATGAAAATCACAAAAATTAGTGACACCTGTCGGTACGTTCTCATACATTGTCGTTATCTTGAAAAATCAGTGCAGATTGACCTGTGAAAGTAGAAGGAAATGGATATTTGAACACTTTTAAGCTTCAATTTGATTTTAGAATTGATTAGTCAATAAAGACAAGTTACTAGTTTAATTTAATTGGGCTTTTTAAAAATAATTCTATGGAAAATTTATACATTAAAATTGTTCTTTTTGAGTGTAATTTCCATTAAAATATTATATAAATTGCAGAAATAATAATAATAATTATTATTATTATTATTATTATTTAATGGGTGACATGAACCAAATAGTTAATGTTTCAAATTTGTTATGTAGAGAAATACACTGCCGATCAAAAGTTTGGGATCAGTAAGATTTTTTATGTTTTTTAAATAAGTTTCTTATGCTCATCAAGATGCATCTATTCTATTTGATCAAAAATACAGGAAAAAAAAACTAATTTTGTGAAACAATTCTTGCAATTTAAAATAACAGTTTTCTATTTTAATATACTTTAAAATATCATTTATTCCTGTGAAGCAAATCTGGATCGGTGATAAATAAAAAGTTAAAAAGAACAGTGTTTATTCAAAATAGAAATTTTGCGTTACAATATACACTACTATTAAAAAGTTTGGGGTCAGTAAATTTTTCAAAATCTTTTTTTTCTTTTCTTTTTTTTTAAAGAAATTAATACTTTTATTCAGCAAGTATGTGTGAAATGGATAAAAAGTGATAGTAAAAAATTACATTGTTAGAAAAGATTTCTTTTTAAATAAATGCTGTTCTTTTTAACTTTTTATTCATCAAATAATCAAAGAAATAAGCATCACAAGTTCCCCCCAAAAATGTAAAGGGGTCATATGATGCTATTTTAAAGATCATTATTTTGTGTAACAGAATATGTTGACATGCTTTAATGTTCAAAAAACACATTCTTTTTCAAATACTGTACATTATTGTAGGTCCTCTATGCCCCGCCTCTCTCAAACACGTCGTTTTCAACAAAGCCCCCTCCTTTGACAAGCGCAGTCTGCTCTGATTGGCCAGCTGACCCAGTGCATTGTGATTGGCCGAACACCACAAGCACGCGTCGGAAATGTAACGCCCCTTACCATAATCGCAAGCTTCATCTTTCAAAGTAAATATCAAGACAGTTAATAATGTGGTTAGTTTTACCATCAGTTCAAGCCCGAAAGGGCAACAGAGTCGTTAAGAGCAAGTGGAAAATGTGCTGAATGTTTCATTTCATCCAAGTGAAATTAGCAAGCAGTTAGACTGAATTTACATTCGTTTTAAACGCGGAGCCAGGCGCGAGTCGACACAGGTTGCGCGCGTGCGTCAAGCCTCATCCATACTGCCAGATGCGCTCGTGGAGACTTGCGGAGCCGGGTGCGAGTATATTCGAGCATTACGAGACAGGCTGCGTGAGTGCGGCAAGCGTGAACGGCTCGTCCGTGACGCGGGGTTCGCGCCGCGTGGGGCAGAGGGGAGCGAGTATGAGAAGCATTCACAGACACAGGCTGTGTGTGCGCTCTTCTGAATTGGGAATAGCCAACATGCATTATAAACTTATTTTAAATTAATCTGTTGGGGAGATAAAATGTGTAAGATAACTTTCACGTACTAACAAAAACATCTAAGAATGTATCTTTTATTCTCCAGTACTGAAAACAGAACCGATACGGGAGCTTTTGATATGCGCTGTGACGCAGCTCTTGCAAATTACCTTTTTTGTTCGTTGTCTGTCATTTCGAAGCTTAAGTTGCATACGTTTTTCTTTAGTTTTAATTTGCCTAACTATCGATCTGACCCAGTAGACGCCATAATCCCACTCTGTCTCTCTCCCGCTTTCCGTTTTTTTTTATTTGTATTTTTTATTTTTTTTAATGGTGGGTGTTTACGCAGTTGGCTAGAGCAGTGCTGATTGGGGAGAACGGAGGTGCGCTCACTCTATTGGTTAGTAAGACTGCAACTCAAGGCTGGCAGTCATGCATATGCTCTGGACCAGAGTAATATCGCGTCCATATCGCAGGCTTTGCGATTAGGAAATCGCAACGTCTCAAATCGCGATTTCGATTCGATTTTGATTAATCGCACAGCCCTAATCAACACTACTGCGTTCCTGAAACCACGTCTTCTTTCTTTGCGTGCACATTTGGGCGGCATTATGCTAATATTTCCACATAGTGACGTAGACATGTGGGGGCGTGTTAGAACGAGCCATTTTAGGTAGGTGTGGCTGACTCTTAACTTTTATAAAGAATATCTCTTTGGATTTGAGACTTTAGACTTTGCAACTTTACAGATCTTCTTTATGCACCAAGAGCTTGTAACACTTCAAAGAGAAAGGAAAACTTGAAATCACATCATATGACCCCTTTAAGCAGCACAACAGTTTCAACACTGAAAATAAATCAGCATATTAGAATGATTTCTGAAGGATGTGACACTGAAGACTGGAGTAATGATGCTGAAAATTCAGCTTTGATCACAGAAATAAATCAAATTTTAAAGTATATTAAAATAGGAAACCATTATTAGAAATTGCAATAATATTTCACAATATTACTGTTTTTCTGTGTTTTTGATTAAATAAATACAGCCTTGATGCACATAAAAGACTCAGACGGCAGTGTATGTAAGAACAACAACAATAATACAACTGTAATAATTGCTGTTATTATAATTATTGTCAGTAATAATTACAATAATTTAATGAGCTATATCAAACATTCAAAATTCAGTATAACTCACAATTAGACTTATCACACAGAAATCAAAGTGATACTAATTTCCATGTTGTCCTTGACCTTTTTAAATTTCCACAAAAATGGGAACCATGCAAATGTTATAATACATAAATCATCAATGTTTCTCCCAAAGATGGTAGTAAATCTTAGTTTTACTAAATTTATGCTGACATCGTGCATTTGTTTTCATATGATCAAACAGAAATTACTCTAAAACTCAAGTATCGATTTCTATAACCTGTGACCATATCTTTCAAACGATCATTTGGTAGTTTCTGTTCACATAAGCAGCCAAACAAAAGTGAGAGTATCTACCATACTTACCTACAATATTTATGTCCATACACTTGGTCTTGAGGTTAAATCAAAACTTGGAACCCCTCATAAAACACAATCCAGCATTTCAAGTGTTGTTTTGGGCTGAGATTGAGTCCTGTTTTGTCTGTTTACACCTGCGCGAGCCTCACCTGGAACCAGGAAGTGATCGTTCACGTTTCGGCGAACTTTATTTTAGTTTAAACACAAAGAAACCATTATGCAACTGAAGAATATAGAGGTGTTTATATTTATACTCTTTAAATAAAGCATTATTTATAGAATGTCATAGAATATAAATTATATAAACGCAAACAAACAGGTGCATTCGCGTAAAACACCGAGTCACCATTGAAATCAGTGCTCTTAAAACTTATTGAGTCTAAATAAGACATTAAAGAATCATTTTATCAATCGAAACGTGCTTTGTTTTCAAATAGCAATAATAAACCATAACTTTGAAAAGAATGAAAATACAGCCTCATACACAAACGTGCTCCTGCTTCCCAATACAAACGCTATCATGTGACACAAGCTAGCGCAGTTAGCCGGTTATAAAGTTGATTATCAGCATCAAACACCGAGAATAAGTTGAACCGACACTTGTTTTTAAGTGCAAACTTTCTCTAACCAAACAATCTGGCTTTATTAAGTATATGCATAAAGTTAAAAGCGAGAGACTTACATGCTATGTGTGCGGCGAATCTAGTGCACTGTTTCTTTAAGAGCTCCGGCAGTCACGTGACAGTTCAACATGGCGTTGCGCTGGAGGAGTTTGTTGCGCTTTCGGTCAACAACACGGCCGCTGATCATCTTCACCTTCTGCCTGACTGTCATCCACAGCCTGGGGGACGATGTGGACAGCTGTGATAAACTGCGGCTGGGACAATATCCTTTCAAAATCGCCTAAATATATTGGGATCGTTTAAATAGTAGCCGGCTAGCTAGCATTGCCGCTGTTATCCCTACTGGAAAAACCAGCTACACCAGCTCAGCACTGGTGCTTGTTTTTAATATAAATGTACTAATTTAACTTACACGTCAGTATTTTACATAATTAGAGTATAAAAATTAGGTGTTGTGTTCTAGATTTGTGATTCAATCTTGTATGGAGTGATGCAGAAAGCTATACTCTATGCCCTACATTGCATGACATTATATTAGGTTTAGACCGGTTTGAACATTGCAGATGTGTTTTTATTACATAAATGTACAATTGAGTACATTTCGATGTCCACTGATTGTCTTATGATGGCTCATGTCTGTCATTCATCCATCACTAGTGGAAATCTGTATCAGTTAATGTTGCTTTATGATATAAATACCACTTGATTTCTCCTTGACCGTGCTCAGGTATGTGTGTAAAGAACCCAAAATAGATGATGCGACTCAAGAACCAGTTTCTATTCATTAATATAATTATATTATACAGTATTATTTATTAATTGTATATTATTACATATATATTTACTAAATGAAAGAATTGATATTATTTATTAAGTTTGTAGTGTGTACATTTATATAATGTAAATAATATATAATGCATAATGAAATTATATTAATTACTATAATTATATTATAATACTTAGTGTGTGTGTGTGTGTATAATGATCAGTATAGTGTGTAAATATAATTTTATACATAATATTACAATTTTAATATGTACAATTACAAATACAATTTTTAACTATTTAAAGTTATTTATAATGTGTAATATGAAATATTACATTTATAATTTATTTTAAATATATTATACATTTATATTAAATGTCATACATTTATGTTATGAATAATAATAATTTTTTACTTTTATATTTATTATATATAATCATGTAATATAATATTATGTAATGAAATATTTTATGTATTATATATAACATTATATATAATATATTAATATAATTATAAACTATAATCACATTTTAGACTATAATGTAATAATTGTGTTTTAATGTTGTTTTATAATTTATTATAATTGTTAATGTTTCTCTCCATATATATATATATATATATATATATATATACTTTTATTATTTTATTTATATATTTCATTATATTAACATTTCTGTATATTTCATTTTTATTTATGTTTCATAAAAATATATGTCTATAATGCCAGAATATGCCTGATACTAGCTACATGTCACTACATGACTATTAAATCAGGAGTCTAAGGCTGAGTTTCATTGCAGTGGAATGTCTACCTGCTCCAAACATCAGCTGTCGGCTGTCAAATGGAACGCAGTTCAAATTCAGCGGTGAAGAGGTTGGGTTTAACAAAAGCATCCCGTGTCGAAATGTGTAAGTCAAACTTACTTTGAATTTGAGTATAGATGATTCATATTTGCGAATAATCTGTAAATATATTTGAATAACATGGATGTGTTTTGTTTTACATTAGGAGTGGTTACTCATACAAAGTCGCTGTTGCGCTGTCACTCTTCCTGGGATGGATTGGGGCGGATCGGTTCTACTTGGGATATCCAGCCTTGGGTAAGACAGTACTACTTGACTTTTATTGTTGGTCTTTTGGTCCATTCTTTATAGACACTGTGAGATTTAATGATAGGAAAGTGAAATCTGCAAATGTTGCAAACCAGATTCGAACTTGGCTAAATGTGTAGGCCGCTAGGCCATGGATCCAGCGTTGCATTTTTCCCTCTTTGGCTGAGTGCCGTAGCCCGAAATCCCCTCTTTCTGGCACCCATTTACCCATCAATAACTCATGAAAATATCTCATGCTTGTGCTGCGCTGAACCACAGGGGACCTTTAGAACAGACAGAATCAGTCCTGGATATTCTGCTGTTGACATCATCTCTTGTTTCCTTTCCAAGGACACACCTTTTCACCAGATGTTCTCAGAATAAGAATCGCACAGACTGATTTTTCTTGCACTTGTTGATTTGAAAAGGCAGATATGGACATTTCAGCACGAACATGGAAATTTGATCTGATAACAATTATTATTATGGATATATTCTGATTATTATTATGATTATGATGTAATTATGTAATTATGATATAATTGCAGATTAGTGGTCAACCAATATGTTTGTTTTTTTTTAATGCCCGATCCTGGTAACAAAATCTAGAGAGCAGGGTGTCATATATAATCTCAAGTCTGTTTTTTTTTATTCATAGTTTAACAGTAACAAAAAAATGTACACAAAATTATAGACTTTAAGAAAGCACTTATTTTAAAATTCTTCAAAATTCACTAAAAGAATCAATGTTATTTTAGGATTATTTATATATTTTTTTATTAATATTTTGTATTAGCTTTAATAAATAATAATTAGCTTAAAATTTAGTATGTTTGTGCTTTTGTCATTTTATTAGTTTTGTTTTTTTATTCTAAATTGATTAAATTTTTAGTTCTGTTTTAGTTTTGTTTCATTCAGTTAGTAATTTTATTATTTATATCAGTAAGTTGTCAAGGCAGCATTTCTAATTTTTGTTTAGTTTACGTTTTTCATCTAATATTTTATTTTATGTCAGCTTTATTTGAATTAACAAATACATTTTTTAATAGTTTGTTTTATTTAATAATAACAACACTGATCTATTTTTTTTGTTTATTTTATTTATTTATTTATTTTTACTACAATGCAATAAATAATTACCACAGTATATTAATGAGAATCCGCTTAGGGAATAATGGGAATTATCTAAAAATCAAAAATAAAACCTAAAAACTAAAACATCCATAAATTAGGGGGGGGATTTTCAGGGGAAAATGTGTTTAATTGTAATGAAAATAATGCCTAAAAAAAAGAGAGAGACTTTGTCTTTCAGCAATATAAAAAATAAATGCTCTTGAATTTACGTAGACATGTAATCTGGACATGTTTTAAACAGGTTTTGTGGGAGTCCCTCCATCAGCCATGGATTTAAAGCCAAAAAAAAAAAAACTTTGATTAAAGACTGGTTATTAAAGTGTTTTTCTGGCCTTTCTGTTAGTTCGAAGAACTCTAGACCTTCCCCTTTGACAACGATATTAACAATCCCCACCAGATCCACGCCTATTTTGAAAATAAACCCCTGAGAGAAATCGCAGCGCACACTGATGTCATGAAACGGTTTTGTAGAGCTTTTAAGAAAAGGTACATGCTGTTCACAGTGAGGCCAAGAGTATCAGTCCTTACAGAGCTGTAGAACATGTGCTGCTTTCAGAACATGTGAGAAACCCACCGATGACCCTTTTTAGAACACCTTGCTCTTTTTTGGCACCAGCTGTTTTAACAAAACGAATCAGCGTGCGACAACTAATTAACTAAAACAGTTCTCTCCTTTACCATCAGATCTCATGGTGTTCGTCTATCCCATAGTGCAATTATTGTCATCGCATGCAGATGAGTTCAAGCCGTACATCTAAATCCCAAGGCGGAATACAGCGGGAAGCTCCGTCTTTCTGCCTCTCTCCATGTTTTAAGGACTTCCTGATCAATTAAGCACCTGCTTTAGGACAAAAGGGCCTGGGCGTTTGAAGGTCCCCCTTGTTCCCGGCTTCTTTGTGAAAGGCAGGCTCACACCACGCTGGAGTCAGTTGTATAGACGTGTTCATTGAGAGCGTAATGGCCCAGCAGCTCTGAGGTCAGTCCAGACCAGGTGTGACTCAAAGGAAGGCCTGGACTTGTTGAGAAGACATTCTGCAGGTGGCTTTTTTGATATCCGTCCTGGAATCAACATGCCTAAACCCCTCAATGACCAATTATAAGAAATATTAGAGATGATTAGCAGCAATTATGTTTGAATCGCAGGATGGAAGGTTTTTTTTAATTGACTGCAGATCTCATGGGCTCCTGTTGGTGTTTTCAAATGGATATCCAAAATAGGCCTACTTAAATTTAAACCAAAATTGTTTATTTTGTGGCAATTATGTGTGGATATTATAAACCTTAACTTGGCTCATGAATATTAATTGAGTGACATACCATCCTACCTTACCAATTAAGTCTTAAATGCACAAAATCTTCTAAATTATTCACACAGAAAGAAGCCAGTTGTACGAATTTGTAATTTGACCTTACAACCTTGCACAGTGGTTTGAAAACTTCAACAGCAGTCTGCACTAAAAACCACAACGAATAGCTTTGCCCTCAAAATTGTTTTTCTTTGGGGTCATACAGAGAAGCCAGAGAGAAAGTGTTTTTGGACACAAACTGGTTATGACGGGAGGCTTTTAGTACAGTATGTTCTTGGTTAACATGTGGATCACTTTTTGTTTGTTTTCAGGCCTACTGAAATTCTGCACTGTGGGGTTCTGTGGAATTGGAAGCTTAGTGGACTTCATGTTGATATCCATGCAGGTAAGACTTTTGACCCATTTATTGATGCATGCATTTCCTTCTGCTTTTTTCTCAAAGGTTGATCCATTTTGTTATTTTATTTTGGTTACTGATGCCTAACGTATTAGTCATTCGGGTTTTTGTTTTGTTTTATGCCCCACGTTTTCTTTCCGATTGGCAGTAATTGTGTCGCTTCACATTGTATTTTGCTTTCACCAAGGATAGAAAGTATATTTGATTTTGGAAATGTGCTTTTTTATTTTATTTGGTTACATATTTTATTCATTTATTATTTAGGAATTATTTTATATTTATTTTTTTTAAATAAATGTAAAAATTTTCTTAAGGAAAATATTGTAAGATTTATTGCATAATAACATACAAAACACATTTTATTTATAAAATAACTATATATTTTTTTTTAGAATTGTATTACTATGTTTTAATATTCCTTATTACGATTATCTACCAATACTGAGATTTTGGGGGAAGGTTGTTTTGTGATTGTGGTAGGATAGTGGTAGGATAGTGGTAGGATAGTGGAGATATGACAGGAAGCGAATGGGATGGGATCGGGAAAGTTCCACGAGGCGGGATTCGAACTTGGGACACCCGAAGTGCAACTGCGCGCAATTCTCCCTCTTAACTAACTATTAACTACGCCCTTTGCCTCAAACTCATGATTTGCTTCTTATTAAGTTATTAAGGAGGATTAAGATATCTAAAATATGATCATGCAGAATAAGGCATTAATATATGCTTTATAAGTACTAATAAACAGCCAATATGCTAGTAATATGCATGCTAGTAAGCAACTAGTTAATAGTGAGAATTGGTCCCTAAACTAAAGTGTTACCTTATTAATAACATTAATTTACATTTATATTATTTTTATTTATTTTAATTTTACAGTGAAATATGATTCAGACATTTCTTTACGAATCCTGCAAATGTGCGGTTCATGAGCTATCACCATTGTGCCATTTGATCAAGACCTTTAATAAATATACTGTAAGTCACTTTGGTTAAAAGCGTGTGCTAAATGACTACTAGATTACATTTAGCATATTAGGGCAGTAACCAGGGGAGGCACTCTACCCACAATCCCCTAAATGAGCTGCAGACACAGAGACTCAGCACTGACTTGTACTTGAATGCTTGTGTTTGTATTCAGTGGCACCTGTGTCTCTCCTCCGGTGCCTCCAGCTCTGTGAAAGGAGCTAATGAGAGCGTGGTTTGTTTTCGCCTCCTCCTGTCCTGAGTCGCACGCTCCCACAGGACTCCCCTAACCCCTATTAAAGGCCCCCTACACCTGACAAGAGAAAAAAGCCACTCCATTTGTCATCTTGTTAGGCCTAACTTCACCCACTCCGCTCTCATTAGGCCTCACGGGTCTGAATGAAGCTATACATGAGAGACGTTTGCTCACTGCTGCCACTTCCACACACCACTGATGACAGATATTTATGGAAAGCTCTTATGCGTGTTGAAGGATGGCTCCAGGAATAATTATTACACGTACTTTAGAAATCCGCAGACTGCTGCGTCATATGTTGGAAATGTTTGCGTCCCCCGCTGCTAGTGAAAACAAAAATTTTTTTGAGATTTGCTCAGATGTGTCTGAGCTACTGAACGCTGAGGGAACAATGAGCTGATGTCTTGCGACATGTTTCAGCATGTTGGAAAAGATCAGGACAGGACAGTTACGATACCTTAGTTGTCATTCGTCTCAAGAATCATACGTCATTATTAAGCTACAGCCTTTCAATCTCTTTCAAATTTACTGACTTCCATAAACATTGTGCGCCTCAAATCAAAACAATACCTGTCCATTCATTGACAATTTCAGGCTCCTGCCAGTTTATCATCACTCCTTCAGTCGTTTTGTGTTACTCCTCGGAAAAACCCGCTCCTTCTAGCCGCAGTGGATAAATAAAGCAAGCCTTTATTTTTTTAAATGGCCGTGGCGGCTTTGATTAACAGGGCCACTGCAGTGTTTATTGTTCTCTTAATGTCTTATTGAAGGCCCTGGGAGAGCAATGCTTTTAAGAAGTGCCTCTGGCAGCCAAAGCTGTCACGTGCTAACATTCTCAATTAGCTGTCGACTGTCGGGCCTCTACGTTTTTAAATTGTGACACTTTTGACAAAGAGTATCCCCTTCCCTCAAGACCCCATTTGCACACATCGCTCCTCTCTAAAACCCCATATTTTATACACTAAACTACCTTCGCTAAGAGCCATGTCGTCCGGGAAATGCACCTTTGAGAACTAATGAATAAACACCTGGGACATGTTACTGTTATTTATATTCATCAATATTCCCTCCCGCAAGTCGCACCACGTTTTGGCCTTTTGAAAGTAATGATGCAAGATTAACGGCGCCGCGAAACTATAGGTTTGAGAGTGGAGGCATCGAGTGAGTTTGATGGATCGAATATTAATGGTATGAGAGAACATGAAACTCTAGTTGACCACCACACCAATCTAGACAACTCTCGGCCGATACCATTGCGAGAGGAAATAGCTTGTATTGGGCCACTGCCAGACGAACGCTAATCTCGATATGGTAGAACACAGTGTCTGTGTTTGGAGGGCGCTTTTCTCCCTCTACCAGATGCGTGTTCTCATTATCATCCCGTCCCAAAGCGTAGCAGAGCAAAGCCGGCAGGGCCAGGTGTTGGGCACGTATGCCTGCAGGAAGCCATTACACCGTCTTTGTGCGTCAGTCCAAGCATGCTGCTTGGATAGTAGCTGATCTCAGAACTGGTACGGGCCCCAGTTTGGGCTCTAGGCTCATTGTGAAGCTCTGATCTGGGGACTGTCCTTCGGGACACTCCTCCTCACCAGGACTCCAAAAGCAACCTCAATTACAGCACTGCCTGGGGTTAAACTTAAATTGCCTCCAATTCGGCATTACTGTCTTATAATTCAATTGTACGAGCATGAGCCATCTGAGGAGGACGATAGACCCTACCAGCCCACCTGGTATTCATCATTGTGTAATGTAGAATCATGTAATTGTCTGGTGAAAGATTACATTGTTATGTAGGTCTCCCTATGCTGCTCTGACATTTGAGACTCATTCTGTTTGCTCTGGTGTAGATCGTGGGCCCATCAGATGGGTCGGATTACATTGTGGACTACTACGGGGCACGCCTCACCCGTCTTTCGATAACAAACGAGACCTACAGAAGAACGCAGCTCTCGCAGTGAAGACACCAGGTGAGGATCTCTTTGTCAAAGCAGTGAAAACTTAATATAAGGTTGGATGGTATAGTTGTGAACCCTGTCACACAAAACCAGCAGTGTTGAGAGGAGAAGACAATGGGCGTATTGGTAAGTGGCATATTTTAAAAGTCCTTCAAAGATTTCTCAATAATGCGCTGAGTCAAGGTCAGTGGTGATCTCGAGTGACCTCCTGGGGTATCAAAGCAAACTGGCAGACCATGGATACCTTCAGCTGTGCTCTAAGCCCCCTTCCACCGCCCCTCACTCTTCTGTTCCCCAGAAGGGGCTCCCTGCTCTGGGGAGAGAGAGAGATTAAATGTCAGACGTGCCGAGAGGACATTGGGAAAACACGGCGGGGTCGTGAGATTGCACTTATTATGGCTGGCACCAGGGCTGCATCTGTTGAATTTTGTCCTGGTACTCCACACACACACTCTTGCAGACATCCCCCGTATCCAAAAAAAAATAGTGGCCGCATTCTAGACGATTCCTTATATCTGTGTCTGTCCCCTATCAGTTTCTGTTTCCTGCCAGTTCGGCTCTCTGGTTAACATTTGCTGCCGCAGTGGTAATGGCGGTGACAGGGGTGTTATGCGGAATGGGACCCATGTGGAGACCATTACTTTCTCTCCCGTGTTTCCATTGTTCCAGCATAAGCCTCCGAAAAGAAGAGTTCTCCATCCCTGATTCACTCAGCCACATTCACCACATTTCCTTGTCTATTTGCTCCTCTTTTCTTCTATCTCTCTCTTGCTTTCACCCAAAAATTGTGAGGAAAGTTTCATGAAGCAAGTCTAGTCTGAAAACAGAGGCATTTTCAGTAAAGAATTGTGACAGAAACTAAGACCAAGACTAGGTTTATCTGTAGGCCACCACCTCAAACCATAATCCTTGCTATTTCCTTGAAGCCTGATACAGATTTGTTGATCTAACATTAGATCTAGTGCTATTTCAAGACAATCAGCCCATATTTCGAAGATCCCAAGGTAGATCTAGATAAATCACCCCAGATATAGATGATCGACACCTAGATCTAAACCAAACAACCCAAATTTAGATGATCTACACCTTTAGACAAAGCAACCTGTGTGTCAAATGGTCCAGTCCTTGGATATAAAAAGTGCAAAAATTGTATCCTAAGGGTTGAATACCTTGTCATTGGGGCAGAACCATTAAAGTACCTTATCTATCCCTAAAAGTTGAATTACTACCATGAAACTTTCATGGGTAAATAAGGTTCAAAAATGTCCCTTTGAGGGTTCTGCCCCAGCAACAAGCTATTGTACCCCTGAAAGTACAATATATTTACCTTTTACTTTTTCTGACAATGCACAGGGCATGAAACCCTCTGATAAATGTCCTACAACCAACTTAATCCTCCTTCTGTTTTTCTATGTTTCATCCTTATAAATAGGTTTCTCATGTTTACATCAGCTCTGGAATGAATCCAGAAACGCAAATTATGTTCTTTCTCGTATAGGAAAAATGACACTGATCCATTTTCAGCATTGGAAACGTTCCCTGCCACATGTGTCTTCTCCAGTGTGGGAAGAGACTGATTTATCTTCTGCTTGTGTTATCCTGGACCTGCTCCCAAACAGAACTAACTCTTTCCATTCTGCCATTTCAGGTGGATCCCAATGAGATGACCCACCAAATGTACAGGATCGTGTTATGTAAATCCCATCTTTTCTTTGGACATGCCTTTGCCGTTTCCAAACACAAAGACACATGGATGTGCCAAACAACGCTCTGGGAAAGACTAGCCCATGTCTGGAGTTGCAAACATGGCTCATGTATATGCTGAGCTAGCATTGGTCCCACTGCTCCAAGTTCTGCTAGGATCCTTGTATAGCTGTTTTTTTTCCACTGGACCACTCATGTCCTCTATCACTCTCTCTCCATCTCTCCATTAATCAATCTCTTCCTTTGAGTCATGCTGGTGGAATGTCATCCATCTTTTGCTTATTTTCATTCCTGTCCTCACTAGCTTCACATTGTTGGACATTGTGTGATGTTGTGATGTTTTTTAAACACTGTAAATAAAGTTTTATTATCATTCTGTGCTGACATGTTTTGTACTTTGCTTTGTTAGTAGAAATTCGCAACTAATCGGTTTCCATATTGGTGCTGACCAGTATTAGCGGATGTTGATTTTTGTCGTTGACCTGAATTGGCCGATATTAGGAAGGTAATTTTTTTTTATCATCAGCCCTCATATAATAACATCTGGTATCAGTCAAAATAATCTCTAATTGTAAGATATCGTATAATATTGGGTTGTTACACATTTCAGGTGTCTAGTAAAAGTGGTTCATCGTAATCCCCTCTGATCTTCAAACGGTCTGTGTCAGACCAATGTCAAGTGCTCCTTCAATTTTACTTGAGTGTGTCTGCTTGTCTGCCCTGCCTCAGTCTGTCACATCGCCATTAATACAGACTCCTGTAGAGGCTCTTCATCACGCTGAAGTGATTGCGGAGCAGGCCTGACTACGCCAATGTGTGTGCGTTTACGTGCGTACGAGCATGCTTCCTTATGAACTGCAGTGTCCTTGCTACAACACGTACGACTCTGCTTGGATATGTAAAAACAGATTTAGCACGTTCCCCAGCGTCTGTGATGACGGGTGACCAGTGCTGCTTTGGGACTCTGCCCAAGCTCTCCAGAGCCTGATTTAGGCATCTCTATAAATCTCCATGAAACAATAGTTTGGACAGCGAGGATTCGCACAGTTTTAAGATGTTCAGTCGCTTTGAAAAGCAACCACATGGTTCAATTTGAAGCATCATTCATGTGAGTTAGGCCCTGAAGTTTGCTACTTAAGATTAGGGATTTGAAAACCCTTAACCGTAAGTATGAGCAATAATAACAATGCACCGCTAAGAGTTTGAATGGGTTTAGATTAAGTATATCATGTCATACAGCTGTCAGAGTTGTTAAATGTCTCCTTAAAAATGGAGAACAAGATAACTTTGATCTTTTAATATAAAAGAAAAAAGTGATTCATGTGCAAAATGTTTTCCTAACCCCCTCCGTCCCTTTCTTGTACCTCTTTTCTCCTCCTCTCTCAAGCTCTTTTCTTGTTCCCCAGCAGTGCAGGGCTTATCAATAGACCAGCCGGATAAGAGACTAGAGATTTATAGTGCACTTCCCACAAGAGAAAGCAGCAGCTCTGGGACTGCACCCTCCCTCAGTGTGGAGGAGGCCATTCCTCATCCGGCCCTGGTGTTTTATTGGTGCAACCTCCATCTCTCCCTCTCCCGCTCTCGGGCCCTTTGAGATGGAGAAAAATTAAGAGGAGGAAACAGCTCGGAGGAGGCGTGGGGTGCTCCCTTTCTTTTACCCGTCCAAAAACAACAAACTCCCAAAGGAGGGGTGAAATAATCCTGCATTGCAGACCACATTGATTCCTTATGCAGCTGCATCAGGTGGGGAAATGGGTCCAAAATCACTTATTCCTTCTCTCGTTCACTATTTCCAGTACGGTGCATGCCACGTAGTGCATTTTATGGGGAAAGAAGGGAACAAAATGAGTGAGTGACTAGCTGCGTTTTCATTACCCTTAAAGGGTTAGTTCACCCAAAAATGAAAATTCTGTCATTAATAACTCACCCTCATGTCGTTCCAAACCCATAAGACCTCCGTTCATCTTCGGAACACAAATTAAGATATTTTTGATGGAATCTGACAGCTCTCTGACTTGACAACGTTGAAGAAGAAAGTAATTTTAACTGATTGCTTTTGCTCTCATGAGAAATTTAACCTCATGTTTTTCATTTTTTTCTTGGATTCTTGTTGCCACATTTAGAGCAGCAAGGGTACTACCACGATCAACGTCCAGAAACGTAGCAAGGAGATCGGTAAACCGAACGCAAACAGCGTATGTTGTTCTGTGTCAGCCGCACCACACCAAACAACATACGCTGTTTGCGTTCAGTGGATACTCTCCAAAATGGCGCTAGTAGGATGACACGGAGACGAATTGTTGAATAAAGTCGTTTTTTTTTCTTTTGCGCACAAAAAGTATTCTCGTAGCTTCATAATATTACGATTGAACCCCTGATGTCACATGGATTATTTTACAGATCTCCTTGCTACATTTCTTGATGTTGATCGTGGTAATTACCTTGCTGTCTATTGGCGCTTTTCCACTGCATGGCAACTATAACGACATGTGAATAATCCTGCCCACTCTAAAGTGGTACTGAACTGCAGTGGAAACGCAAACCGAGCCGAGCCGTGCCGTGCCGTACCGTACCGTACTGAGCCGTGCCGAGCCGAGTCGTACCACGCAGTGGAAAAGCGCCATAAGGGAGGGTCAGAGAGCTGTCAGAATGCATCAAAAATATCTTAATTTGTGTTCCGAAGATGAACTTTCATTTTTGGGTGAACTAACCCTTTAAAATTGTGCAAATTGCGAATTGAAAATATGCCTTATGGAAACATGTCAATTTCGCAAAAACTCCCATATATCGCAAAAAAGTTTTTACGCTCGTATCAGGCAATTCGATAAAAGGAATATATCGCAAAACTGCAAAGGAAACATGATCATTCTTTAATGCACTATAACCTCCAAGAAACACCTCATATGTGGCTGCTCTCAAGTATAAAGGTCTTTTCTTGTCATTAATGCTTGAATAACCCCTTATTTACACTATTTATTTATTTCTGCTTGTGTTTATACCAGCTGCGCCGCGGCACGTTTCAGAAGCGGCTCTCCGCACTGCTTCACTAAAGATACACGTCTACATCTCCTTCAATTAAAAATAATGGCTAGTGCGGTGGCTGCAATATATGTTAACCTACCGAAATCTGTTGCCATGGCTTATCGCGGGAGGAAAAAATTTTGTTTTAGTCGCATAACATCGGTTAATGGAAACGCCATTATTTCGCAATAGTTTTTTATCAACATTTATAAAATATCGCAAAAGTTTTGCGCAAATTTGTAATGGAAACGCACCTAATGTGGTGTCTGGTGTAAATGTGCAGCAGAAAAGGTGCTCTATGCGTATCTTGTAGTGTAAAATTGCAATAATAGTTTAGTTTATTACATATGCAACTTTTTGTGTTTTGGTTTTAGGGATGATTTGATGATTCAACAGACCTTTGTCTGTATTTAATAATATCTATTTATATGAGCTCAGCAGTCTTTTTCCCATTGGATTGTGCATAAAAGAGTGAACTCTATAAGAAAATTAAGTGCTTACAGCATTTAAATAACTTACAAATCAGACAGCAAAATGGCTGACACTCCATACAGTGCACTACATGAGCGATTTAGCAGCTAAATTGTTTGGTAGATGGTCATGTTAGCAAAAAAATGACTTGAAATGTCAAAGGCCTGTGGCTGAACTTTGAGTCTTTGCCTTCTGTCCACCTGAGAGGTTTGATACACAGAGACTCTCAAGACAATATGACACTAAATAGCGCAAACAGGAAATGGCTGAGATCATGGGGCCTGTAAGGTTTTGTGTAAGTCTAAATGGCTGTTTCTGAGGTAATTTAATGGCCCCAAAAAGTATCTTAACATTTAAGCCACACTTGAGTTCAAAATGACAACAGTGCTTAAAATCTAATGACATTCAGACATTTTTAAGTGTGGTTTAAATGTCCAAATTCTTTTTGGGGCCACTAGCCGTAATGTTGTATGTGTTTGACATGATAGGATGTGGACAGGTCCACAGCTGCGAAATCCCACAGTGAGTGCAGCATCTCTGCTCCATTCCCAGAATTCAACAGTCTTGAAATGTGATCACCAAGAAACCCCTGCCCTGTAATCACCACTTCTCTCTCTGTCTCTCTCTCGTTTCTAAACGTGTGGTGCATTGAAGTGCAGATGCAATCATGAATGGAGCGCTCATACACTCGTGATATTGACAAGCATTTCTGGTTGACACTGTGCCAAGCAAGCTGTCCTTGTCACTCTCGACAGCCTGTAAAGAAAATGATGAACAAATTTCTTCTGTAACGGAGCTCTGTTATACAGCCGATTTCTGGCCTCCTTGATAAACGCTTTCTGATCAAAGCTTTGCATGTGCTAATAAAAATAAATGGAGGCCTGTTTCTGCCTCAGAGTAAAAAAAAATTTATACGTTATTTCACACGTTTAATCAATTTTGGTAATTGCTACTTTTACTTGTAATTTATGCTTTATCTCATAATAACGTCAATTTCTCTCAATTGTGACATTTTCTCGTAATTTCTAGTTTATTCTCTTAGATTGCAACTTTATATGCCAAAATTGCAAGGACTGTTTTCTCGTAACTGCTTTTTTTTTTTTTGCAATTTCTACTTTATCATAATTTCAACTCCTCCCTGACTATTTTCCTCAAGATTGCAGTTATTTTTTATAATAGCTAATTTAATAAATACTTTATATTTCACATTCACAATTATTTATCTTATTTGTGACTTTATTTCTCCAAATTGTAACTCTTTTCGCACAATAGTGACGTTATCTTAATTACAACTGTACGTGTCTTAGCTGTGACATTATTTTTCATAATTGTGAATTTATATTTCACAATTGTGTCTTCACTTCTTAATTTAGTTTTAATTTAAATTGCAGCTTTTTCTTTCATTTGCAACTTTTTTTCTCACAGTTGTGACTTTATATCCCAAAATTGCAACTAGTATATTTCTCGTAATTGCTACTTTTTGTCATTTATAAATTATTTCTGATAATGCCTACTCTCAATGAATTTTTTTCTCACAACTGTGACTTTCTTTCCTCATAATTGTGACTTTATATCTCACAATTCTGGCTTCATTTCTTGTTTTAAATGTTATCTCAAAATTAAATGTATTTTTTGCTCTAAATGTGGCAACAAGAATCCAAGAAAAAAATGAAAAACATGAGGTTAAATTTCTCATGAGAGCAAAAGCAATCAGTTAAAATTACTTTCTTCTTCAACGGTGTCAAATTGCGCGCATAACCTCTTGCGTTACAGAGACATCTGCCTCATTTGGATGGATTGATGGTGTCAAAACAGTCTTAGTTTTTGATTATTGTGCAAAAACAAGTGCAGGTCACACACACGAACAGACCAGACTCCCAATT